AGACTGACATTCTGGTCAGACTGTGAAAGGTACAGTTCAGGGTCCCTGTGGGGATTAAGCAGGGACTTGGGAGCCCAGATTCCTGGGCTTTGGGAGGATGGAACATTCAGGGGTTTAGTTTCTTAGAACCTGAAGTCAGGATGGAGGATTGGAAAAGAGCCAAGGACCTTTTACTTTGAAGCACAAGATAAGAGCTCAGTGTTTCTGCAGATGGCTGGGTAGGGAGTGGGGTGAGGACTATGAGTTAGGAAGGGGTAGGGGAGAAAGCAGGGCGCAGGCTAACAGGTACTTCTGAGTCATAAGGTGGGAGCCCCAGAACAGCGTCGAGGATTCAGAGACATAGGGCACTTGTGGGTCTGTAGGTTGGAGGACAATATGCATATCCATGCACGTCTCATCGTGGCTCATGCTTTGCAGAAATGCGTGAAGATTCAGACTGGGATTCCAGCAAGCATTTGTAAGGCATTTGGGGGAATGCTGCCAGGGCTTGGAGAGGAGGGCACAGCCCCAAGAGGGGTGGAGCTTCCATGAGTGCTGGGGTGGCAGTATAGCAGGTACAACTTCTGCCTGGGGAGGCAGAGAGAGAAGGTGTTTTCTTGAACCTTATCTTCCACCACTACTCAGGCTGGTCGGGTGAGGCTGGGATGGGATAGAGTCTGCTCCTTGTCCATTTCTTCCGCTGCGGCTCTGTACAACACTGGAGGTAGCTCTCAGGAACAGGAACCATCATGGTGTGCAACTGGGAAGGCCAGAGGCAGCAGGCAGGAGACTTCACTCTGAGCTTCCCTGGGCCTTCCCTCTGCCCTTCACCTACGATGTGTGAGACTCCGCACAAGGAATAGATACGTAGGCTGGACACAGGGGCTGGACTCATGGTGGGAGAAAGCTCCTGGGGAGGAGAGCCCCAAGGCTGAGAAAGCTAAGTTTCATCGAGAGGCGACTTTCTCCCTTAGAGAGCAAGGGTGGGTGCACTCAGTCCCCTGCTCATGTCCCGCAAGGGAGACACATAGGAACTTGGGATTAAGGGAAGAGTAAATGCAAGGAGAAGAGAACGTGAGTGTGTTGTCTGTACAAGCATGTATCTATGTGTGTGCAAGAATAAGTGTGGAACTCTGTATATGACAGTAGGTGTGCCCTTCTCTGTGTATAAGAATGCGTGCACTCACTTCTCTGTATGTGCACCTATGTGTGTAAGAGTGACATGCAAACTTGTGTGAAGAGTCTTCCCGAGTGTATTTGTGATGCTGTGTGTGGGGGTTGAGGGCATGTACCTCTGTTGCACAAGCCAAGGCCTGTGCAAGTGGAGCTTCCTGGGAGGGAAGGCGGGGTGGCACGGCGGGCGGGAGTGTGTGTGCGGGAGCGTGCCGAATAGCAGGCATGACAAATGATTAATCTATAGAAATCTATATTCTATTCTTCCATGCGTCCACTCGGCCCTTCTCACGCTCCCATGCATCACCTCCAGAAATCCATCACCGACTGCTAGCCAAGGACGGGAGTGAGGAGCGAGCCTGCCTTATTGATGGACTCGCTGGGTGCTTTTTACACATTTGGATATGTGGGGAGGAAAGTGTGCTCGGGTCTCATCGTTCACGCTCTCGTTCCATTATTCATTCATTCCATCACCTGGCCAGCAAGCGAATAGCCCTTGAGTGCCTACTGGGTGCTCAGTGTTGGGTGACGAGGAAGGTAGAGGCCATCCTCATGTTCTAAGGGTCAAGGCCAGCCGGAGTCCCACACGGGATATTGGCCATTTCAGGGGAATGAGAGACAGGAAGTGAAGTGTCTCTGAAAGAGGAGGGAGGTGGCAAACTAGTCTGGGCTGGGGTCAGAACAGGCCCCTGGAAGAGGTGACTGAGAGATCCCTACAAGGTGACAGGGCCAAATGGAAGGGAGGAGAGAGGGGGAACTAGTGAACCTGCCCCTTGGGGACAGTGGAGTGGTCCAGCTGCTGGGGCTGGAAGCCGAGGAGGGAAGGGCAGGAGATGAGGCCACAGAAGGAGGTGGGTTAGGGACGTCAGAAGGTCTTCGTGTCCTGTTAAGGAAGCTGAATTTTACTCTGAGGCCAATGAGGAGTCACTGAGGGGTTTAAGTGAGGGTGACACTGTGCTGTAATCATAAGGCGATCTCTGGCTGATGGTGGAGAGTGTGGACTGCAGAGGAGGAGGCCAGTTTGGAGGCTATCACAGCAATTCCAGGGAGGACTGGTGGTGACCTGGATTAGCAGATGGAGATCTGTGGCAAAAACCCAGATATTTTGGGACTATGGGCTTGGTGACAGACTGGATGTTGGGATGAAAGAGTGGCTAATGTGGCCCTAGGTTTCTGGGCGTTGCTCTGTCTTGCTGTGTCTCTGTCTCCATTTTTAAAATGTAGACAAAAGTAGCTCGGTAGTAGAGTTTGTCTAGTGAGCACAAGGCCCTCGGTTTACCCACAGCACCGTGAAAAAGGGGTGGGGATAGATAGAAATTCTGGCTTTCCAGGGATGGTGTGAGGCCATTTGCTTCCAGAGTCCACCTGGGGGAGGATGTGTTTGTGTTTGTCTGTCCCTCCTTCTGGAGAGCTGTCTCCAGATCTTTTCCAGGAGACTTTGGGCTAATCTTCCCTTGGTATTTGATCCTTACTCCACACCCTGGGCAACTCCTGGACTGTGGATCCAGCCCAGAAGCCTGCTGCTTGTAGATCCTTCAGGAGACTTGGAGGTTGTCCAGGCCAGTGACAGTCAAACAAGTACCCAGAGAAGCAAGTACCTCACAAGCTCACCCAGCACCCAGGACAAAGGCTTCAGGTGATGGTCTTGCTGGGCAGGCCAGCAAGTGGCAGGCCACCTCTCACCTGTGGTGTCTCAGGCCAGCAGGCTGCTCACCAGTTCCATCAGCAGGGAGAGCAGCTTCCTTAGCCCAGGCACATGGTTCTGCTCTCCTTGGGGGAAAAGCACAGTCCCCAGGGAGGTTCTGAGGGCTGCTAATTCTTTACCTGGCCCTTCAAAAAACCAGGAACAATTTTGCTTGGGTTTCTAGGAGCAGCCAAACAACTTCGAATCTTGGAAACCTCGCTTTAGTCTCTGGCTTCTGCACGTTTAGATAACACTGGTTTGCGAAATAAGAAGTTCCTTTTAGACACAGGCAGAGTTGACATTTATCATACCAGAAGCATTATTTTTTTCCTTTCTCCCTTCTCCCTTCAGAGCATGAAGCTAGCTGCACAAAGGGACCTTCTGGGGTATGGAGAGGCGCTGTTGATGGGTAAGTCTGGGTTGCTGGTTTCCTAGAGGGTCTAAGGCAGGGATGCTGTGCTGTGCAAACACCAGTCATCACCCAACCAGGAGGAGCCTCCTCTTCAGGAAGAGCCGAAAAGTGTCAAGGAGATGGCCCTGCACACTTAGGGTGTTTTCAAATTAAGTGACAGCGGACACAACACGATGGGGGAAGACGGCTTGTGTTTCTTTGGTGCATTCAGTCACAATTCATCATTATCCAATTTCTCCCCCCTTGGGTTTTCTCTCTCACATATTTTTTACCCTGCTCTGACAGCTAAATGAGGAATCACACTGCCTACGTTATCTGTTTTGTTCAGGAATTAATCCATCGTCAAATTCTGACTGCCAAATGGTTACTCTGAGCAGGACCTGGCCGCGCTGGTCTCCAGGCAGCCTCGATGTCAAACAGGGTCCTTCTGGCTGGTCAATCCCTGGTGGCCCCAGGAGACCAGGTTTCCTAGGAAGAACAGAGATGAGCATCAGGCTCTGCAAGTCCCTGAGCATAAGCACGGGCCACAGGCCCTGGGCTGGGACTCTTTGGACTGCTTCAGCCTGATTTTTCGTTAAGGTCAGGAGGTCATTAGATTTGAGGTCATTCTATGCCTCCCTCTGCCCAAAGCTTTGAGAAGAGAGGTCTGCAGCTTCTGGGCAGCTTCTGGGTGAAATCCTCTAAGTACTTAACTTTTTCCTACTGCAGCAGCTCTTTTGCTTTACCAGCTCAGTGAGTGTCTGAGAACGGGAGTGTCCAGAGCGGGAAGGACACGCAGGGCCCATGGAGTGCTGTCATTTTGAAGTGGTCCACTTTTTCCTTCCTCCTTTATTTTTTGTGTCTGCTCTTACTTTCTCCTCTAGCTCCTTTCTTTTCCTTTCTTCCCCCTTGTGTCCCTTTTCCCCTCTTTCTTTTGTCCCTTTTCACCTGTTCCTTTCTTTTCCCCAAATGGAGGTTTTGTGCTCCAGTGAAGAGCAATACCCAATGGTGAATAAGACAAGTCCACTCTGCAGTCAAATCATTGCAAATGGCCTAAGTTCTGGAAGGGGAATCAGGGAAGGTCCTGGCCGTGTGGCAAGTGGGTGTACTGTGTGGCTGGCAGAAGGGCTGAGGATTGGTCTCTGGGCCGGGTGAGGCTCAGGAGGGAAATAGCCCCTGGCAGGACTGCTCTCTCCTGGGACTCTGGCTCTGCCTGCAGGCTCAGTCGCCCATGTGAAGGAATTGTGTCTGAGAGAAACCATGCCTGGTGCATTCCTCCATGTAACCCAGCTCTGAGTCAGAGAGAAGGTCTTGCTTTCCAGGCATAAGTGGGAGGCAGTGAAAAGAGAAAGGAGAAAGGTGGTGGCCATGAGCCGAGCACTGACCACACCCAAAGTCCCCAAGTTCTGCCGCATCTGACAATTTCCTCTGGATGAAAGGAAAAGCCAGTGGACATTTTCCCACGAGTTGTGACCCTTACCCATGTTCTTCTGTGCCCTGTAATAATAAAGCAAATCAAACCTGTTTACTGTGCAAAGCATTGCAGATCAAGAGATGTTCAGCCTCTTGAACAGGAAAAGACTTGGATAAACATAAGACAGACCAGTAGCCACGGACTCAAACACCCGATCCTGAGAATAGCAGGCCCTTGACTTTCTCACTCTGTGTAACACCTTAGAAAGCCTTGCTCTGCAAGACAGAGCTGCTTTGTTTGGGCACTCTGGAGCCCACAGCTCCTCTCAGGTCTTTTTCTTAAATAAAGTCTGTCCTTGCTGCAAGTGTTTCCTTCTCCTTTTATTTCTCACACAGATCGTGTTTCCCAAACATTGCTGTCTACAGATGTCACCTTTGGTAGCCCCAAGTTTGTGCTAGAGAGAAAAGGGTAGCCATACATGGCAGGGTGCTGCAGCAGAGCCAAACGGCTAAGTGCAGGAACGTGGTCCTCGTTCATGGGCAAAGACCAAGTGCTGCTACTTCCTGTCTGGGAGACCTTGGGCGAGACCGTAGCTACAGCCGAGCCTCAGTTTCCCATGGTGTAGAATGTGAGCGGTAGGACCAGGATGTGTCTCTCAGCTACGGGATAAGGACGGAAGGGGACAGCGTGTGCTGAGGCCTGACACATCTCTGGCTCTCCTGTGGGCTTCTGCAGGGTGCTGAGATGAGTGCCTAGGCATCCTTGCTCTGGCTGCCAGCCCCAGTGTATGCTCGCCCTTGTCTGTCTGTGGCCAGCCCAATGACCTACGTGTCCCTGTGTCCTCTGTTGCCTTCCAGCTTGCCTAGGTGGGGATTCTGGTGAAGAAGCAGATGGCAGCCGAGGCTGCGAGTGACAGTGATTATGCTGTGAAAGGGTGATAATTTATTCCACTCAGCCTTGACTGGGAGTTGGAAGGAGATATCTATTACTTCTGGAGGGAGGCTGGGGGGCCTCCCCTTTCTGACCTCTAACAGGCAGCTGGACCTTGCTCCTGGTTCCTGGAGAACAGCCCTCGGAGGGCCCTGTGAGCTCAGGAGTCGGAGTGAAGGCTGCTGGTTTAGCCCTGGAGGGTGGAATCCTGGAGACAGCAGGACCACAGGGCCATGTTGATGGGATGAAGGACTAGATTGGAGCCCTCAGTGTTCCTGACTTGGCTGGAGGACCGGGACTTTTTTCGTCTCCTCATCTTGCTCCTCAGTGGTGGATGTCTTCTAAGCAGTGGGGAGAAAGATGTAAAATTAATCCTCACTCTAATAAAAACAGCCTCCCGATTAAATATGTATGAACACATATTGATTTGGGGATTAAACAGAAAAAACAATTGAGCCAGTAATTGAGCGAGGGAGCATGTACAGGTTGAGACTTGGGATCTACTTCTGCAAACACACCCGCTGGGAAGGATGAGGGGCGGTGGCTGCGGGGCCTGTAGTGCTTCTTGGGCTCTTCAGCCTGCCCCTGCCTCTCTGGAGCAGGCTCTGCCCTCTACCTGACATTGGGAACCCCCAGTGAGGGCTGACCTAGTTCTCTGGATGCTCACTCCAAGCCCTTTGCTGGAGAACAGGTGCAGAGGACGCATCTTTCCCTTCTTTAGGGACAATGGCTGAGCGCTCACCAGCTACGAGAGAATGGAAGAGCCTGAGCTGGGGTTCAGTCCATAGTTGTCTTCCTCTAAGTCCAAGGCTGCACTTTCTTGGGGCAGGCCTGGGCCACCCGATTATGCCAGAGCCCACAGAGTTGTAGGATTGTGCAACCTTCAAAATACAAGGGACTTTGAACTTGAGTCCCACTCCTTGCCTGAAAAAAATTTTTTTGAAGAGGTATAAAACATGATAGATGGAACAGCAGACACACAACTTCAAGAATATGTCACAGTGCCTTGTGCCAGGAGGACACCCCTCCCCCCACCACTCCACCCCATTCCTTCAATTTCTGAAGTTTTGTGCCATCAGGGCCCTAGAGAGGTATTCTGAGTTTTTCAAGGTTGCAGAGTCCACAGGCATGGCCCACTGTGCCACTGGCCATGCAAACAGCTTGGATATTTTCCACACATTGCTGGATGAAGGAATCAGGATGTTGATTATGGCATCAATGTCTGGGACTGTATTATACAGGACAGGTTCCCACATAGGATTCATTGGATTCACTGCCAAATCTCATCATCTGAAGACCCTCTGTTCACCTTAATGGCACAGAACTTCACCAGTTTTGCTGTTCTTGACCCGAGGTTGGAATTAGGAGACTGAGATCTAAGCTTTTTTTCCTTCTTTGGAGGGAGGTCCTTTGATTCCTCAGCCCTTTTCCTCCTCTTTCCCAGAATCATAGAGTGACTATTCTGGACCTTTCTTGAAGTCCTAGACTGAACAGATCCCTTTGGCCTGCCCGTGACCCTGAGTCTGAGCCACCTTGCTCCATGTTGCCCTGGCCTTACCCTGTATTTGAACCACATTGACATGGGTATGGGCAGCTTTGGCCAGTGCTCTAGTTGCCTTTATCTGGGCAGTTTTGGTGCCCAGGGTGGATCTCTCTTTTGTTTGTAGACCATGGAAGGAGCCAGGGGCTCTACAGGTCTTTCTCTGGAGTCCAGTGCCTTGCTGAGGTCCAGCCCTGGAGCCTTTGTGAGCCAGTCACATAGGGCCCTTACTTGTGATTTTTCTAGGAGCTTTGGGCCAGTGCTTCTCTGGACTCTTCCCTGAATGTTTCTGTACTTTCAAAGGAGAGTCTGCAGTGACAGCTGTAGTGACCATGGCTTGTGCTTAGCACTCAAGAAGCCCATGGGATCTTTGAGTGCAACCAGGGCTTCCAGGGCAACAGAAAGCTGCATGGCAGGGTAGATACTCAGATATAGGTGGGCAGGAAAGCCCATTGTTGCACCACTGCTTTGACTGGCACTTGGTTGCTCCAGGGAGCTCAGCAGCAAGTTGGCAGTAATATGCTTGGTGAGGGCTGATGTAGCCCCTTTGGCCAGCCTGCCGGACAATGACATGGGGAGCAGGACAGCACAACCTGTGGGCAGGTGCATAGCAGTTTGGGGAGCACTGGCTGGAGGTGATGTAGCAGCTGGGTTGAGGGTATGAGCCTGTAGCTTCGTCTGACTCAAGGCATTGGCTGTGCATGAACCATAGCCATAGACATCACCTCTGCGTGGGTTGGAAACCACCATCTTGCAGACCCTGCAGGAAGGCAATGAGCTGGGTCTCCATGGCACCAAGATCCCAGCTCATGGGATTAAATACAAGCAGTGCCTCTTCCAGGGCCTTCTTCCCTGCTGTGGAGATGTGCCACCAGAAAGTGAAATTTGTCACTTTCTTTCACTCATACAAAGTCATCTAACTTGTTCTTGGATAGCTCAGGATGGGAAGCTCCTTACCTCTCAAAGGAAGCTGAGGTCTAACTCAGAAGAAACCTACCTACCATGCCTGGTCATAGGTTCCATATCTGTTCATTGAGTTGGAAAGTAGATGGTGGGGGATGAGGTGGACCACTGGTATTTGCTGAGCACCTATTGTGTGGCAGACCCTGTGCTTGGCAGCCTTACATGGACTAGGAACCTATTAGCTTCCCAAGAACACTGTGACATGGATTTGGTTATTTCTACCTTATACCCCAGAGATGAGTCTCAGAGATATGAAGTCATTTGGTAATACTAATAACAACCATGGTACAATTTATTAAGCACCTGCCCTATGCCAGGCACATGACATACATGATTGCTAATTCTCACAATAACCCTATAAAGTAGGTACTTTATCCCCATCATACAGAGGGGAAACCAAGCCTCAGAGTCCTAGAGACAGGATCAAAGCAGACAAAGCCCAGCACAGTGACCCTGGCTAAGTCTTGCTTTGTCCTGGAGAAGTGTGTTTTACTGGTCCCTTGCTCCCCACTCCCCAGCTGCCCCTGCCCCAGTCTGTGTCTCACCAGTGTCCCTCTCTCTTGCACCACTCCGGCTACTTTATGTCTTGCTCCTGCCACACAGGAAGCTGTGTGCTCTTCCTCCTGGAACTGGCTGATCTCATATCATTTTCTAGACCTCCTCCTGCCCCTTTTCTTCTCTGCTGCTCCCCAGGTCCCCCCCACACCCGATGTGTGGACCTCACGTCACCATCCTAGGCACTTGCACACTGTCATCTCATTCAAGGTTCTTGATGACCCAACATTCATGAGACAGAGAAGGAATGGGGACGATTTGCCTCAGATGGTGACTGTGCTGGACAAGTCCTTTTAGAAGCACCTGTCCAAGGAACAGGTTCCTTTATCAGGACCCACAAAAGATAGCCCGAGGTCATGCAATGAGGTGGGAAGAGCAGAGTTGGGTGTAAACCCTGTGCAACCCCAAGCTTCTTTCAGCAGGCTGTGTAGTCTTGGGCAGGTCAGGTAACCTCTCTGAGCTGAGGCTCCCCCCTTGGTTTAGCTTGAATTCACTGCCAGGGCTGGAGTCAGAACTTATATATGAGCTCACCTTTAAAAGTGGCCAAGGTGACTCGGATTTCCAAAATGTGCTTTGAGCTTGCTCTTGCCTCCTATCCACCAGAGTGCTTTGCGGAGGTGTCTGGTCCAGGCTGGCTTGAGCAAGCTTGTCCATCACCTCCCTGGGGATGGAGCTAAAGGTTCAAACAAGACTCCATCTCTAGCATTCTTAGCATTTTCTAAGTTGTCCATACCATGACTTTCAAGGTCTTTCAGGACCTGAGGAGTAGGTCCTTTCCATTTGCTGTCAAGATTCAGGTTCCACCCTGTTTCTCCTGCTGTAGGAGCTGGAAGGTGACCCATGTGGACCTTCTCTGCTCTTTATGGCTCCGCTCTTGGGTAGCTCCTGGGTGGAGGGAGAGGCAGAGGGCCACAGTGATGGAAGTCTCCAGCTCTTCCCAGCAGCCCTCTCTATGCAACTCCCTCTGCTAGCTTCTCCCTCATTCCCTGGCCAGGGATTGTTCTAGTCCTGGTTTTGCTTCCTACCCCCTCCTTCCTGCTTGTGTGGGCCATAGGTGTGCCCTGGGGCTTGACCTGGGCCTTGTTCAGCACCTGAAATAGTCATTAACAGCTGGGGTCCCTCGAGATCCGGTGGTGCCTGTGCTGAGCGAGTCCTCAAAAGCTTTGACTGTCACCTTGACTTTATCATCTCCCCAGGTCCCTTTTCCTATTACTCTGCAGCCACACTGACCATGTTTCTGGTCCTTGACCAACTCAAGCATGAACCTGCCTGTCCCCTAGCTGGTTCTATCCCATCCACCTAACTATCACAGGGGCCCAGCAGGAAGCAAGTTGTGCTCAGCTGGGAATCTGCAGATGTGTGCATGAGACTAAGCGACCTGCTGGTTGGCAACTGGGGGAAGCTAGTTACACCCACGGGCCACCAGAGCCTGGTGGGAACTGGAGCTGCAGTCACAGAAGGATGCAGCATGGAGCCGAGGTCAGGGAGGAAATACAGAAACCAGCACAACTTGGTGTTGCCTTTTTTACTTACCACAACCTGAAATATCCTAGTTACATGGTTGTTCCTTGGCTTTCTTCTATTCTGGACTGTTAACCCCACAAGGGCAGGGGTGCTGTCAGTGCGACCCCCAGGGTGTTCCCTGTTCCAGCACATGCTGACGCAGCAGGTTCTCATACACTGTGGAACAGAAGAATGAAGAATGACAGTGTGCATTGGTGACTAGTTTGGGCCCAGTGGTCTCTATGCAGTGCTCCCTGTGCCATCTTGGTCCTCCCTTGAGTTCAGGCAAGGAGTGGGGTGGGCATCGGGCTGAGTAGTTGTATGTGTGGATTCTGCCAGACCGGAGCCTCACATTGACTCCAGAGTAGGGCTTTGTAACTTGGCAAGGATTTTTCCTGGTGCATGGAAGACAGAAACTCCAATTTTTGCCTGGGCTCAGAGCTGCTGACTTGGTTTTAGAAGGACAGTTGGAAAGTGGACAAAGTCTGTCCTTTGGGGAGCCAAGCTTGGAGTCCAGCAGTGGAAGAAGAGAACTCTGTGTTTTCTTTTTAGCTACAAAGCCAGAGAATCAGGGAGAAGTATGTGTGTGTGTTGGGGGGGGCAGGGAGTGGGAGCTGGTTCCATTGTTTGGGTCAAGTGACCCATCTCTGTTTTATCTCAGTCCCCCATGACCTGGGCAGACCCCAGGGCAGTGTTAGCTACTTTGGATCTTATCACTCAGTACATCTGAGGACAGTGTCACCCACTCTGTTTATTCTTTCATTGTTTGGCAAACAGTTATCGAGCACCTACCGCGTGCTGAGCCTTGGAGGGAGCCACAAACCAGGCACTGGCCTGCCCTCTCCGCACATTGCCCACCTTGGCATGGTGCGCAGCTGTGGCATTAATTGCATCCCTAGCCTTTTGGACACAGCAAGATACTCAGTGACGACCTAACAGTGGTGCTTCCCGCACACAGAGGCTCCTACCCTGCATCTTTCCCCACATCACATCACAGAAGTTCCTCCTGGAAACCTAACTCCAGCAGTGCTGGTGATACCCAGGGGATCCCACTGTGCATTTCTTCTATGACTGGGTGACCAACACTACTCTGTGCTCCACCCTCACACATGCACATCTCTCTGCCCTGGGTCATGAGCACTCCTGGCCCCATGGGGCTGGGGAGGTTACTCTATTCGCTTTAACCTGGATCTTACAAGCCTGTGGGACAATGTCAGTGGTTGCTCGGGGCAGCAAATGGAGACAGAGCAAAGGGAAAAAGAGCTGGAGCAGACACAGAAGCCAGAGCCTAGACGCTCTTGGAGCAGGAAGAGTTGTTGCAAAATGGCTGCGGCTCCTTGTAAATGATGTATGAAATGAGGAGCATATGCCGGGAGTGCTCTGTGTGCCGAGCTTGGCTGGGCTCCTGGCAACGCAGCCTGCACCAGCCCTGTGCTCCCAGTCCCCACCTTTCCGGAAGTCCTCTGAGGCTGGGCTGCAGTTTGCTCCTTCCTCTCCTCTCTCCCCACAGTGAGGCGCTGCACACAGTAGGGGCTTAGCCTGTGTGGCAGACTGTTTTGCCCATTCTGAAGACAGAGCAGGAGGGATGAGGACAGCCATGAGTGTGAGAGACCATGGAGCCCAATCTTGACATCTCCCAGATGGGAGACTGAGCACAGAGAAGGGGTGAGCTTCCGCAGGGTCACACAGGAAGCTAGGGTCTCCTGCTCCAGCCCATGAGTTCGTAATGATACCTACGGCAAGAGGCTTCATTTCTCCTAGGTGGTTCCCAGATATTATTTCTAATCCTGTGGCTTTGAGCAAGCCCTGTAATCTCTCTGAGCCTCATTTTCTTTATCTGTACACTGGGGCAGTCAGGCTAACTGGACAGAGTTTTTCAAGAGGGGAGAAAGTCTGCACCCAGCAAGCCCAGTGTGCACTCAGCCATTGCGTGTGCTGGGTTCACCTCCAGCCTGAAGGCCTCTCTGGAACTCAGCCCCTGGTGCCTGCCGTTCACGGGGTGGAAGAGGAAACGCACGTACACTTTTGAGCCTATGTTTCCCCTGGAGGAGGCTGTGTCCAGCAGCACATCCCAGGGGTCTCGAGTCCCTTCATTCTCTCTGAGACCCCCCTCCCGCTGGGGGCAGCAGCACCTGCCTTTGCTGCTGTCTGTCCCTCCTCTCTTGCTCCCCACTTGTTATTGCTGGCCTGTTAGTCTCCGAATTCTTCAAGTTTTTTTTTTTTTTAATTTCAAGCAAGTTTAAGCATAAAAGGCAATTTATTGGCTCACAGAGACTCTCTTCTTACAGTCACTCAGGTCCAAATCTTTGGCATTGATCTTTGACTCCCTTCTCATTCTCCATCTTCAACCCGTTAGTAAATCCCATTGGCTCCACCCTCAGAAGACGCCCAGAATCCAGTCTTCCCCCCACCTCCACTGCTGCTCTTCTGGTCCAAGCCATTATCAGGTTTGCCTGGACTTCGGCAACCACCTAGTAATGGTGCCCCTGTTCCCAGTCTTCATATAGAGGTCAAGAGGTTGAAACAGGTGGATCTCAGGCAGGCCCTGGAGCTGTCCTTCCCGAACTGAAGCCGAGTCAGATGGCCCAGCCTCCAGTGGCTGCCCCCTCACAAACAGCCTCCAAATCCTTCCCACCCTTCCTCCTCCATTGCATGCTCACTGCTGTTGGGAATAGCCACGCTTGTGCAGCCTCAGGACATTTGCAGCACAACTATGCACACAGGAAAGATATTCCTTTGAACATTTGGGCAGCTCCTTTCCTCACTTCCTTCTGGGACTCTGCCTGAAAGCCAGTTTCTCAAATAAGATTCCCAACCCTCAGATCAGAACTTGGCATGCCCTGCTTGGCTTATCTTCTTCTACTTATCACCTGCTGGAGATTCATTGACATTGAATAAGATGGAGCGTCTGTGGGAGTAAGGATGGTGCTAGTGCCTGGCTCATAGTAGGTGCTCAATAAACATTCTAAATACATGGATGAATGAGGACAGGAACTGGGCTAGCAGGCAAAGTGATCTCAGAGCTCTATAGTGTGTTATTCCATGGAGAAGCTGATCTCATTTCCACTGAGAAATGTGCTGCAGGGATACAGCACAAGAGGGATTTAGCTGATGGTTCTGAAGCAGAGGAGAGAAGAGGTCAGGAGTGGGGGTACCTGGGAAGACTTCCTGCAGGAGGTGGTATTTCAGGCATGACTTGAAGGATGCAGAGTTATCCCCAGTGAGGGGAAAAGCAATGCAGGGTGAGAGAACAGAAAGTCCAATCTGACTGGGAAAAGCATTCAGGGCTTTTATGGAGCAAGAGAAAGTCAGGGCCAGAGCAGAGCGAAGTTGAGCTGGGGGTGGGGAGTGAGACCCCAAGCCCCCGAGGGTGGGACTGATGCTCGGGCATCCTGTGCGCCTCTAGCCCCAGCTCAGTGGTGGCACATCACTGGCCCTGAGCTGCTGTTTGGAAAGCACTAGACAAAATTCTGGCAGACTTGGAAGCAAAAGTGGATCCTTCGGCTGCAGCTGCTCCCCCCCCCCCGACTCATTCTCCTCTCGTGGCTTGGACAGCCAGAGACCCGGGTCATCTTCAGTCCCTCCCCGTTTCCCCAAGGGGGACCTGCCCGCATGCGCAGCTTTCCTTGGACATGGTTTGCATCCCTTGGCGAAAGAAACCCTGATGCCTAGAGTGAAATGAGATGTTTGAGTCTCACAGGGCGGACCGTGAAGGATGGGACGACAGGCTTGAAGCATAGGTCAGGCTGATATTTTCACATTCGTTTTCTATTCTTACATGTTGATGGATGAAGGGGGGTTTTATCGCAATTGCATTTCCGTCTCAAACTGCTAATTCATGCCTCAGTTCCCTGTTTCATTTTGTCTCTACAAATTCAGTCGGTGTTGACTGGCCGAGGAGTGTGGGCAAGGGAAGGGCTGGCCAGGGAGTGGCATTTTTAAGCAAACAGTCTAATCAAGCCATTTTGCTATGAAAATGCTTCCCTGGGAAGCATTTTCTCCCTATATAGCATCATAACAAATGCAGACTAAAACAAAATCTTTCATTTAGCCTTGAGCTTTTAATTTTTCAAAGGGATTCATTCAGATTTTTAGTTTTCAGATCCTCCCAATAGCTCTGCGAGGGTGGGAGGGTGTTATTGTTCCCATTTTGTGGATGAAGATACCAAGACTCAGAAGGGAAGGGATCTGACTGGCTGTATGTTCCTATGACTCATCAGAAGGGCCTGGGGAGAGTTCTGAGTTCCTCAGAGTCCCCATCCCACCCCAGGGGACACACACTCTCAGTGGCAAGGATTGGATGACATTTTTGTGTGTGGAAAAGGTGTGGCAGCCAGTCATGAAACCTATCCACAGCTACGTGCCAGGAAGAGACAGAGATGTACAGAGAACGGGGAGTGTTCTCACAGAGCCGCTCCTGCCCCTCTGTCCATGACTTCCCTGGGGTTGTGCGGTGAGTGTCGCATCTCAGCCTTGCTGACAAACCCACACTGTGTAGCTTCCCCCATACCCTCCCTTCAGCAGTCCCAACTCTCTTCTGGGACTCCTGCTCTGCTCCTTCTCATCTGGGGCTTGAAATGTGTCCCACAAACTACAGAGAGCCAAGAGCCGTGCGAGGCATGGAAGAGACTCTTCCAATGGGGGCAAAACGAGAACAGAGATGTAAGATTCCAGGGCCTGCAGGGTTTGCCATACCCACAGTCCCCCGTGATTGCAAAATGTCTTGGCCCTGAGCACATCGGATATGCACAGCCACCCTGTGAGGCCTCTCTAAAGACACATGAAGAAACCGAGGTTCCCAGAATTTCTGTGACCTTGCCGAAGGTCACAAGCCACTCTGGGCAGAATCTAGACTCATGGTCGGGGCTCCTGATTCCAAGTCCCGTGCTGTCTGTAGGGCCACCAGGGCCACCCTGGGAAGTCTTTTCTGGGCTTTGGCACCGTTTCTCACATTCTCAATCAGAAATAGAAGTTACACTGCAGAGCCATTTCTGCCACCACTGGTTGCTTCCTGCCAGCTTGTGGCACGTGGTGTGAGCTTCATAAATGTTAGGGAGGTTTGCGGATGGCTGGGGGTTGGGGAAAGGCTGTGCCTGTGACACCAGTGGCCACTTTCCCAGCTTGCCATCCCTCTCCCAGCCAGCTCCAGGGGACTCACCTCCTTCCAGTAGCTTTCCCTCCTCTGCTGCCTGTTTTTCTCTCTTCTGGTCTCTCTCTTTTCCGAGAATAAAAATGACTGGACTTGGCATTATCTGTTGGTTTCCATGGTAATAAAATCTGTTTCCGATAATGGCCCTTCCCTGGCTGTGGTTAGTTTTGGTAATTTTAGCAACACTGTTGCACAGGCCACCTGCATTTCAATACCATGCAAGCTGGATTCGACTGCCGCTTTCAGGTTGAATAGGAATAAGGAAAAGTGCTTGCTCTCAAATTTTGAGGCTGGATAAATGCTCAGGAAGAAAAGGAAAAGTTATGTAAACCCGGCAGGCTTGGATATGTGTGCAGCTTAAGACTCGAGTGTGATGGTGTCATTCTCCTGTTTAAAACCCTTGTCACGACCTCGGTGCCTGCAGGGTGAGTGCAGACTCCTTCCATGTTGGGATCTTCTGCAAGTTGGCCACCAGTCCCTCTTCCTGCCCCACCTCTGGCCCTCACTGTGGCCTGGACCATAAAATGCTGGTTCTTGCCTTTGCATCTGTGCTCTCAACGTTTCCTTTGTCTATGCACTGCCTGTCCCAGCTTTTTCTACCACAACTGCCTAGTGAGCTTCTACGCAGTCTTCAAGAGTCCACCCCCAAATCCTGCAGCCCCCTAGCCTAGAATTTCGTTCCTTATGCCTCCCCACACCCTCATAACTTGCACGCTCATCTATTATGTAAATGTATCCAGCCACATTTGCATCTTTGTTCACCTGTCTTTCTCTTCCGTGTCGCAGTACACTCCGAGCCCAGGGAATGGCTAGGTTCATCTCTGTGGCTCCTGGACCTGGCATAAAGCTTGTACTCATGAATAAAAAATGTGCATAGTAACAGCCGCCAGGCAGCAGGCACTCACTAAACATGGCATGTACATCCTCTTACCATCCCTCACCTCCCTGCAGGGGAGGTACGATTATTCTTCCCATCTTACAGGTAGGGACACCAGGCTCGGAGGGGTTGGGGTGCTGGCTGGCCCCTGGGGACAAAGTTGGCTGATGGAATGGTTGTTAGTTTAATGACTGTGCGGATTAATGAATCCAGGTGGAGAATCTGAAAAAGCACAGAGCTTGTGGCTTCTTTTTGGATCCATAGGAAGATTTTCTGGGAAATCTTCAGGGAAGGCTATGCATGCAATGGAGGCTCCTTTTTCTCCAGAGTAGAGGGGAGGAGAGGGGGAAAGGGCGGAAGGAGGGGCAGAGCAGGGCAACACAGATGTGAGGGACAGGCCTGCGCAGATTCTGTGTGGCTGCAAACTCCAGGGGCAGACAGGTCCAGGGCCCGTAGTGATCCTCCGCTGGGCTTCCAGCTCCCAGACCATGGCTTGTCTCCTGCTGGGCTGTGTGTGGCTGCATGGTCTTGGGCAGGAGTCCAGGCTGGCTGTCCTGTAGGCTGGCCTGTGTATCTACAAGATGATGAATGGCTCAGTGCCTTACAAATTTAAAGAGCTCCCTAGGGGTGAGGGAGTTTTGGAAAATACTTGCTTTAGAAGGAATAGCCTTCTTGCTGTAAGGTGGAGACCTTGACCGGGGATGTCTCAGAGAAGCGCTGTGTTCTGGAGTTTGGTCTCTTCCCCCAGCCAACCTCCTTCCAAGCTGTGCACTGGGACAGTCATTCTGCCTCACATGCAGCAATGCCAGTGCCTATCGAATGGAGAGCTGAGCTTGGAGATAGGGCGATTGTTAAAGTGACCTCTGACAGACATGGCCAGTCTGAGAATCCTCAGGTTCAATCCAGCTTGACTCCTAACTCTGCTGTTAAAAAGAGCTGCATTAAGTTGCTTCTCCTTACCCCCATTTTGCAGAAAGTCAAACTGAGGTATCTGCAAGATCTGCCCAGCTGAGGTAAGTCTGGAGCTTCAAGCTTGCAGCATGTGACAGGCACACCTAGGCTCTTGTTTAACATTTTCCCTCAGTTGGGACTTTTCCCTAGAGGATGCTGGGACAGACCCATGGGTCACCCTGAGGATGAGGAGCCCAATGTGCTGCAGGTTCTCAGTTCCTTTTCCTCTAAACCGGACCTTCCCTCTTTGGATGCCAGGGTCCCCCTGGGCAGAGCCCAGAGAAATAGTTTGCTTGGCCTCTTCCCAAAGCGGGACCATCAGACATACAGGTCAGAGCTGGAAGAGCCTCGTAGAATAAGAGAGGAAACAGAGGCTCAGTTTTCCCAAAGCCACTCTCCAAGGGTCCTCCATGAGTTCCCATGTCTCCACCGGCTGCCCAAGCTGATCTGTGTAGAGAGACATGGCACCCTAACCTGTCTTCCTGCCAGGCAATAACTGTCTTGTTTAAAGTGTCTCTAGGATTAGTCAAACAATCAGAGATCACAGCCAATGTTCTCTCATTACCGGATGCCTATAATTAATATTTATAACCAAGAGGGTGCTTGTCTGTCTTTACTGAAAAGGAATTCAGTATTTCCAGCCATGGCTGCAAACACACAGCCCCCTGTTACCCATCATGGAGAGAGCTGGCCGCCTTCAGCAACTGCACTTGTAATTGAGGCTGGTAGAGAAGAGTGCTTCAGTGCTGAGGGCGAGGGAGGAGGACATTGGACAGGAACCAGAGGAGGGTGCAGGGGTGGAGGGGAGGGACACAGACCAGGAGGGAAGGACAGATGTCCAGAGGATGGGACACCTGCAGAGACAGAGAGAAGAAATGAGAGACTGTGAGTGGAGAGAACGACTAGGTTCAGCAGGGACTGAGAGAAAGGAGAGGAGACTGAGAGAAGATGACAGAGAGGACCAAGAGAAGCAGTGACAGAGTGAAGGGAAGATTGGAAGAGCCAGAGAGGGACTGCAGAGGCCTACTGAGAGTGACAGGGTGAAGTCAAAAACTCCAGAGAGAGGCAGCGAGACTGCACAGTGCTACGGACAGAGAGCCATACAGGGAGTGAAGTGACTGGCTGTGGAAAAGAGGGTGTCGGCGTCTGGGGGCCACCTCAGCTGGCACAGAGCCTGCATGGGAGTCACTCAGCCAGCCCATGCCAGGCACCCAGTTGGCACTCAAAGCACTCACCCCACACAGATCCTGGTGGCGTAAGCGTCCCAGCGCAGGACCTGACCTCTGACAGGTGCCTCATCCCCAGACACACAGACACACTTGGGCTATCATAGGTGTCTCTCCCTGGGGGTGAATGGGTCATCGAATGGGCAGTGCCTGGCTTCCAATCTTTGCCTGGCTCTTCTCTGTGACCAGCAGGGGGCAGTGGAACGGACTCTGGCCCAGGGGTTGGGAAATCCGGTTCCTAACTCTGCCTGTGAGTCTTTGACTTGAACGAGTCTCTTGCCTTCTTTGCAAGTCATTTTCCCTGCATGTTAGATGAGGGGCGGCCCCAAATGGTCTCTGAGGGTCCCTCCAGCTCTAGAATTTCACGACTTCACATCCAACTCAATCTTGCTTTGCATCTGGCTCACATGGGTCCCTCCTAATCCAAACAGAGTCCACCATTCTCCCTCCGCTCCTAGTTTGTGAGGGCAGGTGGTCCTAGCAAGGATAAGCTCTTTCTGGGGTCACCCGAGGCTCTCTGATTTGCACATCAGAGCTCAAGGAGGGCTTTTAGCTGTTCATGCCCCCGGGCCTTGGTGAAGCAGCGGAAGAGGAGGAAGTACAGCCAAGAGGCAGCCTTGAAAGCAGGGCTCTCAGGAGCCATGAACTTGACCCCATAAAAGGGGAAGCTGCGTGGTTATTTATGAGGACCGAAGCAAAGACGGAGCGCTGGGAGGTATCCCTGTGCCTGGGAGGAGAAGTGGTTTTCAGGAAAGCTGGAGAGGTAGGGTTGGAAAGTTGAGAGCAGCATGCATGGTCAGAGAAAAACCAGACGGCTGAGAGGACAGTGCCTCAAAGAACCACAGCGGCCCCTTTATTTTGCAGGTGGAGAAAAGGTTACTTAACAAATTGCTCCCCAAACTTAGCAACTTAAAATAGCAATCCTTTATTTTCGTGGCCCTGGTCAGCTGACCCAGACTGGGCTTGCATGGAGGTAGCTGGGCTCTACCTGTCACTTGTCTGCTACCTCCTGTGGCCAGCGGGCTGGCCTGGGCATGTTCTGCTCAGGGCCAAAGCAGACGTGTAGGAGAGGATGCGGAGCCATGCAAAGCTTCTTGAGGCCTAGGCTGGGGTTAAGAGGCCATCACTTCCTCCCAGCCATCTGTGTGGCTGGAGAAAACCACATGGTCCAACTCAAATGGAGAGTGCAGAAACACACAGGAAACACATCTTTGCTCAAGATAAGAGGGTGCTGCAGAATGAATACAGGCAGAGGGGAGACCCGGAGGCCAATGACTAAGTTACCAACAGCATCTACTATGTGCTGTGCCTGGCAATAGAGACACATACTAAACACGATGCAGAGGCTGCTGTTTCCCAGAGCTTACAATACACACACAGAAAAATGAACAGCAGTAAAACCATGGACATGATATCACTGTAAAGGAAGTCACAGGGGCATGGCGGGGAGAGGCTGAGCACCTACTTGGATCGGACCTTTGGGGATGGGTTCTTGGAGGAGATGGCCTTGGGCAGGCGTGAACAGGGGAGGGAGAATCTCTTGGACAGAGGGTGCAATGAGTGTGGACTCCAAATCTCTCTCTAAGCCACCTGAGTCCTTCTGATGAGGGAGTCCTGGGGGTCTTTGGCCACTGTCCTTGTCACCTCTGACTGGCAACTGGCTCCCATTTGTTGCCTCTGCCCTTCTGGTTGTTCCATCACACTGTTACCATGAATCTGACTCTCATTTCCTTCCCTGAGCAAAGCCTCCCAATTGTATGCCTGCCCCAGGCCCCCTTTCTCCAGCCAGGCCAGACTTTCTAAAGCCTTCTCCATGACCTCCCCCTCTGTACCTTCCACCTATACTGCCTTTCCCCCTGGTCTATCTAACTTCTATTTTTCTTTCAAAACTCAACTCAAATACCAACTCCTCTGCAGAGTCTTCCTTGCTTCCCTGTGGCCTCCCTCCTGCCCTGGCTGGGATTCTCTGTGCCATGTCTGGTCTCTGTACCACTCCTGATGCTTAGGGTAGAAATTGTCTGGAAGAGAAGCAGAGGTAGCATCCAAGCTTGTCCCCTGACTGTTTCTTTCACACCATGCTACCTTTCAACTGGGGAGCCCAGATGGCCTTGATGACTCCGTGCTCCCGCTAACTAGACCATGAGCTCATGGAGGCACAGGGATACATCCCAGTGCTCTCTGTTGCCAGCCTTGGGACTGGCTGTCCTAGAGGAGGCATCTGTCACTGTTTGCTGGGATCATGTAAAGCCATTG